AAATACTGAAGCAGCTTATTATTACTTCAGCCAAGATGTTATAACTTAGACAAATAGATTACAAATCTGCGCAAATCTTTAGCGATATTACACTCATTTCAAAAATGCAAAGTTTTGCAGTTTCTGTATTTCCGTTAAGGAACAAATGCAATTAAAATTGCAGATCAATACTTTTGTTCATTCGATTACTCGGAAAAGAACATGGTAGCATCCGATGTAAACACCTAATATACATTTACATTTCAGCCACTGCAGTAGTGGGCATCATCGTCCTCCAACTGTATCATGTCTTCTTCTCTTCTTACAAGGTAGTAAGGTCCAAAAGCAGATCATGTCACTTATGTGAAAGTGTTTCCATAGCAGTTTTGTGAAATATAAAAATTTCAATACAACAGAAGACCACCTTGTCTAAGCGTAAACATTTTTTTATCAAAAGACATCAGTTTTTTTTCTAATCCATCCATCCATCCCTGCTTATTCCATCAGGGCTACTGTAGGCACGGTCCCTATCACTGGCGATATTTGGGCGAGATTCAGGGTACACCCTGGGTAGGTCAATGGTTAAAGGATAAGCACCTAATGACAGCGGGACAATTAAGTCAATGCTTTGGAGAAGCAATCACTAAACCCTCATCTCTGTCCAAAAAATCATTCATCCTGTTTCTGCAAAAAAAAAGTGTTTGAGCATGGCATCTGCCTAACCCAGCCAGTTAGAGCCATTGTTCTGTCAGATGAGCATACCCGGTCAGACCAGCATACCCATAGGCAATACCCGTTTATCCCTGTAGTTGTGTTTGAAAAATAGAACTCAAACTACCTCAACGGGCATGTACCCCTTTAGTCATGCACAAAAAACAATTTAAATACTTACTTTTTGAATTGTATACCGATCTCACCTTAAATAGTTTTTTGTACATGACTATAGTGATACACGCCCATTGAGGTAGTTTGAAGCCTATTTTTTGTACAAAACTAAAGGGATAAACGCAAATCTAACATCTTGTGCATGTGTATTGACTATGGGGAGATGATGAGGGATGAGGGATGGGCCAAAACTTTAGCAAAGTCTTGGAAAAAGCTTGAAGGATATGACTGACTCAAGAGATGAGAATGACTGACTCAAGCCATACGGTTTTAAAAGCAAGTTTACGGAATAAAACAGTATTCTGAAATCAAAAAATATGTCAAATTTATTCTTTTACGTTATTTTTCCATAAAGCAAATACAAATAAGTTTAATAAACAAGGAGAGAAAAAGCTTTATCTGATTCAAGCCCTTTCGTTGATTAAAACAGGATAATCTTGTTGCATTTCCATGCTTTGTGTACGCAGCAACACCATGCATTTCCACTAAATAAAAGCAAAACAAACCAAACAGCACCATTTAAAAATAGATTCTAGATCACGTGTGCAGTATGATTTAGCATTGGAACAGGGAGCATTTCTGCCATAAAGTAACTAACTGTCACTTAATATTTACTCAATTAAAATTGGCTCAATTTGATTTGATTTTTCTGATTACACAGAACATGTTTCGGTGCTGTAGTGATGGAGCCTTCTAGAAGAGAATAATTTAACTTATTAGCCATGCCAACACCCCAAAGCACCACTTCCACCACTGATTGTAAGAGTATAAACAGAGAGCTATGTCACAGATACCGGCCAATTAAATGCAACCAAGTGGCAGTGAAGATCCACAGCGTGTTAAAGTGACATACCCAGATTTTAAATGCTAGCTTTAGATCTCTGTTTAGGGTTGTAAATAGTTGTTTTACATATTTTATTTTATTCTATTTATATTTACTTTTTATCTATTCAGTAACTTAAACACATGTTCAGCTTCAAAGGGGGGATATTCTTCATTTATATTTACGAGCAGTTTAACTGAACGTCCTATGTAGCTAATTTAGCTAAAATGATAACTACATGGCTTTTGAGGCAATTTTACTTTAGTTTTTCTCCAAACGTTCTTTAATCGATGTTGCTTTATGGGCAAATCTAATAATGAACAGTAGCAATGAAAGATGGACAGGGAGAGAGTATGTATATTTTTTTATTGTTCATATATTTAATCGCTGATGTGACCGGAACTACGCCACTCTAAGGACACTAGCTCCCCATATTAGCGTCCTATTTTTTGCCCGGTAGCTTTGTGCCGCTAAAAGGCTAGGCAAAGCGCTTCCGGCTGAAGGCTACGCTACGTAGCATCCAAAACCCCTCCGGAAAAGTCTGTGCTCTCTGGACCGAGTCAGATTGCCTTTTCCTGCGATACAGAAGGAGCTGAACGCAGTATTTTAACTCCTCCTGCGATTCAAACCGAGTGAACGCAGTATATCCTGCTGCAGCAGAGACAGAGAAGATCTAATCCAGCTCTGCCAACCGCCGAACAACGGGGGCCCCGATGGCTGTTCGACGAAGAAGCCATTAGAAGCAGCCGTAACGTCACTGCCTGTGTGACGGAGGGACTGAGCAGCGCCGCGGCTACATACTAAAAGGCAGATGTCCCGCGTGCTACCGTGAGTTATAAAATTAACCCCCTTCGCAAACTGCCTCTTATTGTTGCATCAGATTAATCCAAACCTCTTTGAGTTGCTGTTGGACGAACGGACTGGACCGAAGATGGGCCTACAGAAACCGGACCGAGCCGAAGGCCTTCCCTCCACTGAACCAAAAACAGTAACTGCACCTCCTTTCCATCTGATGCTTAATAAGTGCTCTGCTTGGGTGAACTACAGGTAGATAGCAGTGTTAGTGTTTGTATTTGAAATAAGCCTTCTGATTCAACTGCTGATGGTTAAACGTTTAACGGAATGCTAATGCTCACCACAGACCGAACGGGTCACGTGTTGCTGAAGCTAACCGCTAAATCGTGAGCTAACCCTCTCTTTGTTTCAGTTGGACCCGACCAGAACCAGAACCCCTGGTGACCAGCTAAGCTAACGAGTCTTTCAGCTTCATCATATTTTAATGCATTCCTGAGTCATAAACAGAATTAAACTTCAGTGTTTTGACTGCAGGTAACATCTCTGTGTCAGGGTTTATTTACATTTTATCTGCTGCTATTATAAAGGACACTTTCAAATGCATTAAGCCTTAAACTTGGAACATCACAGACTTTGAACTTACTTTTAAACCCCTCTTCCCCTTTTATTTCTGTAATCTTGCTTTTTTTTCAGTAGTGTTAAGTGTTTTGCTTAGTTCTTAGATATAATACTGTGTGATTTTATCTAATAAAGGTAACGTTGTATTTTTAACCCGTGGGCTTTTGTGTTCATGTTACACTCAGGTTGGATTCACTTTTCTTTCAGTAGCATCCAAATTAACAGAGACACTTTATTTGGTTGGTGATTAATAACGTTGCTAAGAGCCATAGCCTGAATTACTAAATTGTTGAAAGACAATTGGATTTTTAACAGCCGGATTCAGGAGTCTAACCCTTTTAGGAAAGGGTTAAAACCCTGGTCAGTAAGCAAATTACAGTTATAATCATTCAACTGATAATAAATAACTAGCTCCACCCTTGATTTGAATGACCTATTAATTAACTAACTTCTAGTTCTATTATTTAATATATTCATAATCTTGTGGTAAGCTGAATGGCAAAGCAGCAGCTATAACATTTCCTGGGAATTCCCTCTGAGGAACAAAAAGAGTTATGCGTGTGAGAAAGAGAGAAGCGAAGGAGATATAAAGGGAGATTTCAGTCGCTGTTGTAAGAAAGAAAAAAGACCCATCAGGACAACAATCAGGTGCAAAGAGATAAACACAATGTGTTGTGCTTAGTTTCTTATTATCAAATCTTTAACCCTTGAGTTTGTCATTTCTTAGTTATATGTGGTACTGTAGTAATAGTCCAACAGGACTAATACAAAGTTGCACCAGTTACCTTATTATAAAATGATTTAAAATAAATGGCACTGAATTTATTTCTGATTAATTTTCTGAAAAACTGAGAAGAAATTTCAATTTAAAAAAAATGTCTCACAACATTTGAAAAAAGGTTACAACTTATTATGTGATGGAGCTGCTAAACCTTTAATATCTGTTGTAAAACAAGATAAATACTTCCAAAAAAGGTGGAGGAGGAAGCTTACCTTTCAAAGAAGGACATTGAGTTGCTTAATGAACAACATATCTGTTCTGGCTATCTTTTTAACCATCTTTAATGTGTTTTGTTTTTTTACTCATTTCAAATTTTAAAAAATGAATAAAATATACAGAAGAACATTTTATACAACATTTTCTTCTCAGTTGCATACCTCATTTCAAAACCTGTGATGTCTGCCCCCCTTCCCTTCTCCTTTAGGCTACTCCAGGAAGCCACATAACCTGATATATGTATCTGGTTAATATGATCATGATAAGCGTATAAATAGAACAACATTGCCATCTGAGCAAAATGTTTATGATCAGAGCTGAACACTGGGTCACAGACAAACACTTTGCATGCAATCTGCAGCTTGAACCTCCCTGTTAATCATTGATGTGGAGCTCAGGCCCTTACACCTTGCACTGTGCCCTGTTACACTCACTGACACAGTCACAGGGTTGCCAAATAAACACGCGGAAGGTAAAAACGGAGAAGCAAAACATAACAGTTGCGGTCACATGAAAGACTTTAGCAGACTGTTTCAATTGGCAGAGGGAAGCACAAGCAGAAGCTTAATGATATTTTCAGGTAAGATTCCAGAGCGGAATTTTCTCCCCACACCCCCCGAACGCATCCCACCGAGACAGGTGCTGCAGGGAGTGGGGAGAGAAGTTGGGGGAAGTTACATAAAGTCATGGAGAAGAAGGAAGGGTGAGGAAAACCGGCTTGACTAGAAGTCAGCACAACACATTTAAGCTCTGCTGGCAACTTTATGGGACTTTTCTTTTAAAGCAGAGTATCACATGAAGTGACGCACCGCCTGTGCGCACCTGGTTATAAAAACACTATCTGACCCCTGGTGTGTTTAAAAAGCATGTGCAGAATTAGAAGGGGGTGAAAAGGGGTCTCACCTCATCCCATCTGATGAACTTGCTCCCCCTCTTGAGCTCTTCGTGGACGCTCACGGGTTTCAGCTGCAACGCGTGGACTCCCGGCTTGGCCCCGGCCATGACGCGGGACTCCCCTGGCCCGGGTGCCAACGCCTAGACCCCGGCTGCCTGGAAGAGTAGCAATAAGCTCCTCGCTTCTACAACCTTCCCGTTTTTATTTTGCCTCCCCCCTTTTTTTCCCACTTTGAGGCCCCTTAAAAGTTGCGGAGGCGCATGTGGAGCCAGATCCACGGACACGGACAGGACCCACCGCCGCTGACTTGTTCTCGTCCGCGTCCACGCACCGCGGTGACGCGCCTGGTCTTCTCTCTACCACCAGCTTTGGTTCATCTATTTAATTATTTGTCCTTCTGAAATAGCATTGGAGATCCCTTTTCCTTCCTCCCGTCCATCTGGCCGACTCTAACAACTTTCTGCGCTTCCTTACTCTCTTGTCGCCTCTGAGGCGTTTCTTCTTCTTTTCTCCTCCTCCTCCTCTCCTACCAGCATGTTTTCTGTGAGAAGGAGGAAAAAAGAGAGGGGGGGTTATGAGAGGGGAGCTGTGAAGGGAGACGAGGAGGAGGAGGACGGCGTCAGATAGCGCTGAGTGACAGAGAAATGAGAGTGTGAGAGTGGAGTTCTACGGAAGAGTATTAGGGCCACTGGAATAAGAAAACGTTAACTGATTTTTAAATTTTATTTCTGTTTAATGTGGGAAAAAGTCAAAATTCTGACTTTAATCTGATCATTCTGGCTTTTATTTGAGAATTCTGATTTTAATCTGATAATTCTGACTTAACATGAGAATTCTGACTTTAATCTGAGTATTCAGACTTTAATCTGACAATTCTGACTTTTTTCTCAGAACTCTGACTTTTTTTCTCAGAAATCTTGAGTTTTTTCCCAGATTTCTGACTATTTTCTCATAATTCTGACTTTAATCTGATAATTCTGACTTTAATCTGAGAATTCAGACTTTAATCTGATAATTCTGACTTTAATATGAGAATTCTGACTTTAATCTGAGAATTCAGACTTTAATCTGAGAATTCAGACTTTAATCTGAGAATTCTGACTTTAATCTGATAATTCTACCTTTAATCTGATAATTCTGACTTTAATCTGAGAATTCAGACTTTAATCTGAGAATTCAGACTTTAATCTGAGAATTCTGACTTTAATCTGATGATTCTGACTTTAATCTGAGAATTCAGACTTTAATCTGATAATTCTGACTTTAATATGAGAATTCTGACTTTAATCTGATAATTCTGACTTTAATATGAGAATTCTGACTTTAATCTGATAATGCTGACTTTAATATGAGAATTCTGACTTTAATCTGAGAATTCTGACTTTAATATGAGAATTCTGACTTTAATCTGATAATTCTGACTTTAATATGAGAATTCTGACTTTAACCTGATAATGCTGACTTTAATATGAGAATTCTGACTTTAATCTGAGAATTCTGACTTTAATCTGAGAATTCTGACTTTTTTCTCAGAATTCTGACTTTCATGTGATAATTCTGAGAAAAAAGTCAGAAATCTGAGAAAAAAGTCAGAATTCTGACTTTTTTCCCCACATTAAACTAAAATAAAATGTAAAAATCAGTTAACATTTTTTCTTTCTTCTTCTGTGGCCCTAATCCTCTTCCGTAGAGTTGGAGTGAAGTGGGTGTATGTATTCTGAGTGTTTGTGTTAAGCACCATGGAAGTGATACTGAAACTACTTTATTAGTATTGTGCAAAAAGTGTTTCTGTTCGCTGGATCTTCACTTCCTAACGCATTTCTTCACCTCCCTACAGATATCTGCTTGGTTTTCTATCACTTAAATACATCTAATCATCAAGAGACAAAATGCTGGTTTGTCTCATTTGTCAATTTGTGTCAAAATAAGCAGATGTGATGTGCTTCGATCTTGTTGATCTTGCAGGCTGATTTGGATCAATCGGTTTGAGTAGGCCACCAAACCATTCTGACTTTGATTCATCTTCCAGGTTTTTAATCCTTTATCACATCACAAATTTGTTGAAATGGCAAGAAGATTGCATGAAAAGTTATATGAATATATTCTTACCAGTTATTGAATTTAGGTGTGGAAGAAAGGATTTGACTAGACCAAAATAATATGATTTGATCTATACCCGGGGTCCGCAACCTGTTGCTCTGGAGCCCTAAATGGCTCTAACTTTAAAGTGGCTCTTAGTAATGTCTTACAATGCTATGAAGAAGCAACTATAATAACAAATACCAGTATTAGAAGCTTTTGATAGAATTTTAAAAACAGAATGACAATAAAGGAACAAGAAATATGCTTTTAAATATACTTCTTTTATGGATAGCTTGGGTAATTATGTTTTTACAATTTGTTGTTTTTTTTTTTTATACATCAAATAATATCACTTGGATGAAAATCCATCCGTCATCTTTAGTTTTTCCTTATTTTAAAAGGTAAAAATGGCAACATATTTACTACCCCCCCAACCCCCCAAAAACGAAGCTGCATTTTAGCAATTCAGTTCAGTTTATTTATATATATAGAGCACATGTATCACAACACATGTCATCTCAAGGAACTTTACAGACAATTTAACCAGCTCATACAGTCAAATTGGTTCAAAGTTTTCTATATAAGCAAAACCGACTGATTCCATCGACTCATTGACTCGAAGGCAATCACTCACACAAGCATGCTTGTAGTGACAGTGGAAAGGAAAAACGCCCTTTTAACAGGAAGAAACCTCCAGCAGAACCAGACTCAGTGTGAGCGGCCATCTGCAGAGACCAACTGGGGTCCAAGGAGACAGAAGCAAACATACAGTAAGAAGCAGAGATACAAAAGGAAGTGTCAACCAGCTGCGCAGGCGGGCCCGTCCAAGAAACACACAGCCAGGCAGTCGAGCTCCGAGTCAGCTCCCATGTCAGAGGATGAAGAGAGCACATAAAGTTAGTCACAGTCAGAGCAAGAGGACTACACTGAAAAAAAGCAGGCCAAGCTCCAACATCTATAAATAAAGGTGTTGATGGCAGCAGGACAGCTGATATTTCTCTCCAGGATGGAGTCACAGTCAAACAGGAACAGAACAGATGAAGCTACTATGAGAAAAGGCAGAGAGAGCATAATGTTACAGACTGAAAAACAAATACTGTAGAATGGGAGAATAGAGATAGAATGACGTAGAATGGTGAAAAGGGGGTCCCTATGTCCTCCAGCAGTCTAAGCCTATAGCAGCACAACTATAGAGATAGCTCAGGATAACCTAAGCCACTCTACCTATAAGCTTTATCAAAAAGGAAAGTTTTAAGCCTAGCCTTAAAAGTAGACAGGGTGTCTGCCTCACAGACTAAAACTGGTAGTTGGTTCCTAATGAAAGAAACCTGATAACTAAAAGATCTGCCTCCCATTCTACTTTTAGAAATTCTAGGAACCACTAGTAAACCTGCAGATTGAGAGCGAAGTGCTCTGTTAGGAACATAAGGAACAATCAGATCTCTGATATAAGATGGAGCTTGGCCATTCAAGGCTTTCTATCATTAGATATTTCTATTTATTGTAATATTCTGCAAATGAAAGCAGGAAATTCTAGAAACCTCTTTGATATAGGATATAAATGACAGGTCCTGATCAAAAATATCACCAAGATTTTTTACTTTATTATCTGGAATCAATTTAATCCCATCCAAATTAAGTGACTGACTAATCAACTTCTTTATCAAAGACCCTGGTCAAAAGACAATAAATTCTGTTTGTCTGCATTCAGAAAAAGACAGTTAAGTCATTTATGACTCTTATGAATATCTTACAACTTTTTATCAAAATTTTGTAAGATTTATGGCTATAAATGACTATTACAGAGCCAGAAAAACTGCAAAATGGCTCTTTGGATTTTAAAGGTTATAGACCACTGATCTAAACCTCCAGCTGTGTTTACTGTTGTTGTCCTGCTGGAAGGCTAAACCTTCCCTCTGATCAAATGACCAGGATATCTTCCACATACTTGAACATCTCATGTTTAGTGTCTTTCAACTCTTGCATACAGGACATATGTGTGTGATGCAAACCAATAGCTGTCCTGTTTATACTTTTTTACACACCCAAGGATCCCCAAAGCTGCCTCTGCAATGCTTTAGGTGCAGCACAGTGTTTTTAGAGCCTATTAACTAATTAGGCCTAGTGAAAGTAGTCACTTGCAATTAATTTTAGCAGGGGTGTGACCCAACATTTTGAAAAGCATGTCTCAATCATCTCTTTTTCACAATATGCACTGCTTCGTGCTACTCGTTCACATAAAATGCCAGTGAAATACATTAAACTTTGTGGTTTTAATGTGAGCAAAAGTGAAAAAAAGATGGAAAGAATGTTAAACCTCCCCGGCACTGTAAATCTATAAGAAATTATGCAAAACAAAACCATTGGCAACCTTCATATTTATAAGATTTATTTGTGTTTGTCGAATAATTGTGCTGAAACTAACCAAACTCCCTGCAGGTTGCTGTAGCAAAACTTCACATTATCTCAGTCTTTAGTTTCTGTGAACTGACAGGGACAGCTTCCTTGCGCAGTCGGGATGATTAATAGGGCAGGCTTGCACTTGTCAAATTGCATAGTAATTCACAACAATCTTCTCAGAGTTTATCTGAGAGCACAAGAGGGCACTTGTTCACCTGGGATGTGAAGGAGGCGCCTTATAAATAGCCAATCAGCATCACAATGGCTCAGATTTTTGAAGGTAAGTGAAACCAGAGCTGTTGGGTAAATTTCCCTCCTGCTGTGGATCGTGTTCTCAGCCTGGGAACAATAGAGACTGCGTGGTCCACATTCTGATCCCGACCAAATCCAGCTGCCGAGCAACATCTCAGCTCACAACGCTCATAAAAAATGCTATGAGGCTGCAGATCTTTCTGGCACCCGTCACTGTTCTCTGACTCCTTAACTACAGCAGGCAGGAATGTTTGCTATGCTGACTAAATGACTGATGGATACACTTTCTGTTTGTGTTTCCCCTGACCATAAGGAAGACAGAGAAATCAAGAATCGATCAGGCAAACTGCAGCATATTGAAATCTATAAAGACTGCATGTATCTTTCAAGTAAATCTAAGCTTAGACATTGAATCCAGGAAGCAACAGAACCTAGCCACACTGTTAATTAACCAGATCATAAACTAACACACACGCACACACATTTGCAGATGCTCTACAGCCTCTCAAATGTCAAACAAAAGCAAGCAAATGCATATTTACAACTCTTCATGCACACATACACACACATGTTGGCAGGAATATTGGGTTTGGCTTGTTTATAATCAGATGCACACACACAGCTGTACACACAAGATGCCCCCTACCCCCTGTCATAAATATCAATAAGAAAAAAAACACTGTTTTAATTTTGTTTTGCTGAACAATGGTTTGCTGTCTGCTGCATCTCAAGCGCAGGCACCTGTTTCTGCCCTGCCACAAAGAAAATCACTCGCACTCTTCTCCCTACTGTCCTCATAAAGACCAAATCAAGCTGCTAA